CCTTTCCTTAGGTGTATCTGTGAAAATAATAAACTCATTCACTTTACTTTACTCCAGATCATCACTATATTTTCTGGCTTCTAGTCAAGGATCTGGAATTATTTGGTTGGTGGTGGCTAAATGCTGAAAGCTTCAAAACTTACTGGCTAGCTGTGGTTCTGGCTCCCACAAAACATGCTACCTCTCATGCATTATGATACATTACAGGATTTAGTCCTCCAGAAAGAAGCGAACAGTCACCATAACTTAAGCATTCCTATAATATTATTTTCAGGAATATATCTCTCCATGAAATTTATCAGGGGACACTGTGGTTAGAAGAAACATTACAAAGATGTTTGAGAAGTGTGGCTTCCCTATTAACCTTTCTGCAATGACTAATAAAATAAATACTGACTGGTAACATCAGCATTGTGTTAGCTTTATGACATTGGGCTTCATATTACCCTCTAATATATTAGTATATTAGTATTGTGAACAGTAAATTCGTTCCTAATTTTTTTTACAAACTTATGTAATATAATAACCTTATCAGATGTAATAAACACATTGTTTCACACTTTAAAAACTTTGTGTAATTTGAGCAACAGTGGAAAGGCAACCATAAATGCCCTTCCCTGATAATGAGATCAATGACTAACTTATCCACCATGGTAAAGCCCTCATCTAGTAGCTGAAGGAAGTAGAGGCAGACACCCACAGCTAAACACTGAGTGGAACTGGAATCCAGATGCAGAGAGGGGGAACAAGACCAGGCTACAGAAACCCACAGAGAGAGCTGACCTAAACGAGGAGGAGCTAATGCCCCCCCCCCCAGACTTATAGCTGGGGAACCAGCATTGTACTGACTCAGATATCCTGAATATGGGTCTCAGTTAGATGGCCTGGGCAGTCTAAGGGACCTCTGACAGTGAAACCAGGATGTATCCCTGGTGTACAAAAGGACTCTGGGAGCACATTCCCCATGCAGGGATACTCCCTTAACCTAGAGGCAAGAGGGAGGGCCTAGTCCCTACTCCAAATGACTTGACAGATTTAGATGATCATTCCTGGAAGGCATCACCCTACCTTTGGAGTAGGGGTGGGGGATGGGATGGGAGGTGGAGGCATGAATGAGAGGGTGGAAGAAAGGGAGGGAGAGGGAATTTGGATAGATATGTAAAATAAGAAAAATAAATAAAAAAAGAAAAAAAACTTAGTGAATATAAAATTCAGTTGAATTAATTTATTTCATGGAAGAAAAGTCTCCCAAGAAGTCTGAAGGTACATCCACCAGGTGATACAATTCTGAGCTGAATGTTATGGTTTTACACTTTGTCTTTCTCACACAGATGTAATTAACCAGACAGGAATGAAAGTTGCAGATAGCAGTGATTTGCTGCACATGCTGTCACTTCACTTGCTGTAACCATTATTCACTTTGATTCATTTTCTCTAATAATCATTCCCTGCCTGCTTCTTTCTTACACTTCTCAGGGTTCTCCTGATGATATCCCATACAATGTCTACCATCAATGTCCCCTTTTATGACCCATGTTTATTAAGCTTCCACAACAGATATGATTCCTCAGCAAGGCTTAATACATTGTATATTTCCACTTTATTTTATATATTAAGGTCCAAAAGCTGGAATTCTTTCAACTAGCTAGCTATCCAATTGATATCTCTCTTCTCCTTTTTTTTTTTTTTCTGTCTTATTAAAACAAAGTTTTAAGTGTTGCTATCACTATGATTTCTTTCTTCTTGTTATAGTTTGTGTTTGCATTTGTATAGATACTACTACACATAGAGTCCAGAGGGCAAACTAAGCTCTCCTCCTGGTACCACCCAGACATAAACATTTGAGAAAGAACTACCTTGATTGTCTTTTTGACAAATTCTTTACAAACTTAGCCATAACCCAGCACTGAATAAATTGCTGAGCATCTGCTGTAGTCCAGTCTTTAAAGATTCTGTGCCTGTCTCAGAATCTTCCTGTAAAACCCACTTTCCCATAGCTAAGTTGCCTTTCCAATAGCTCTCCATTTCCAATAGCTGGCTTTGCGCAGGGGCTTTCCCACACCCTTTTCCCCTCTGTTGACTATTTTACTCTCTTTGTAGATCTAACTTCATTGTTTCTTCTACTGACTTCTGCTCAGTGATGCTGCAGCCTCTTTGTAAGGCAGGTTTCTCCTGATTATCCAGTTTTTTTTTTTTCCCCTTCATCTTCAGATTGTGCACAGTGCTATGGAGATGAGTATATGCAATGCAGATTTAGTTACTCAGTGCAGAGTGACACTGATATCTTGTCAGGTGTCTGCTCTGTCTTTGAAGAAGAAAGTGTCTTCATCAAAATAATGGCAACATAAATATGATGTAAGCTCTTTGCTAGCTTTCCACATCTGTATTTTAGCAATTCTCCTTTTTAAAAAGTGGTGCAGGTAGAAACCATGTCTCAGTAAGACAGCATTTGCTTAACAAAGCTAAGGCCCTGGGTTCCGCAACAATGAAAAAAGTAGAGTTGAATTTGTGCGTCTAACATTTATAGATACAGGGAGAAAAGCATTGCTTTTGAGTTCACTTTTGAGGATCTGTTCTGATATAATTTCTTTAATGCCTGAGGCATTCTGAAGGAACAAAATCACAGGAACAGGTTTTGGAACAAATGATAAATAGTGGAGGTGTGACAGATATGCAGTGGAGAGTTTCCTCCATCTAGAATTCTTGCCTGAGGACCTCTTTGGTTGACAAAAATTTGACTTCCCCAACCCTATTCTGGGATAGGAGGTCAAGACACACCAGGTAATTTATCTTGACTTCTGTCAACTGCCTGCTGTTGCAAATAACCCCATCCAGTTTACTGCTTATCTTATTGTCTGTTAAATTTCTTGTTTACACAAAACCTCCCCCACTGAAGCTGCAGAGCCAGATAACAGGATGTAGATTTGTGCCTTTTGCTCTCAACACTTAGGCTTACACTTGGTTCCATAATGCCTGAGTGTAGTACCAATCAGCTGAAATAAAGACTTTTGTTTGGCTATAAGCGGTTTTTGAGTGGTCTTTTCTGGTGGGCTCATTGAAACAAATTGATATGGTAAAGTTGACGTTTTATGAAAAAATGAACTTAAATTTTCTTTGTTAGACTTCCCTTCACTTTTCTTCCATGCCCTCCCTCACCATCACTTTTATAATAATGTGAGGCATCAAGTTACATCTGAAGCCTAGGGAGGCATAAAATGTCATGTGCACTAAATAATTTCTGAGCATACAAGCAATAAAACATAAGAGGTTTATTCTTGTATCAAGCAATGACAACGGACAGCATCCAAATGGCATAAGCTTCTAAAGGAGGATGTACGTGTACAGGACAGACTTATAACAAATCATTGACACAAAGACACTTCGTGACTCATGTTCACAAGGGAGGAAGGTACTAAAGTGTAAAGCAGACTCAATCAGTAAAAACATAAGCTGATTTTTTGTCGTTTATTAAATTTATCTCCCTTAATGTTCCTTAAGCTAAGAAGAAATCTATTTTCACACAGCCCAGAGTGCTATATACACATAAGAGAGGGCACACTATAAAATTCCAGGTTTCTTTGCAGTTTTACACAATTTAAACTCGAGTAAAATTTGTATTTAAAAAAAGACCTTATTAGATTACCTTCAACAAACTGACTTCATTTCAATATCTCATTAGGAGTTTTAGCAAGAAGACAAATAAGTAGAAAAATTTCTCAAACCATTACTATTCCCTTAAACCTGGATAGTTTTCTCCTATTCCAATAACCCAACTTGGCATTAATCTATTTCTACTGGTCTTCTATTTTCTCCTTTAGTAAAAAAGAGAAAAGGCAGTCAGTTTTACTTCTCTGCAATATCTCAAGAGACTCAGTTGGGTCACAGCTAGAGCACACAGTTTGAGAGAAGGTATTTTAGTACATGAAGGATAGAAGTCATTTTGAAAAATGATAAAGGATGAGCTTCTTTGCTAGATACATCTGAATAGCAAAAGCAATGGAGAAGTTCATCTCCACTCTCCACTGTGTCCTTCTTTATCCTGTTTCTGTTCTTTTTTGAAAAAGCAACCATCTTATTTGAACCAACCAACAGAATGCTGCAGGCAACTTCACTACAGAGAGGGGTTCCAGTTCTGTCTCACGGTCAGTCTCCCTGCCAGCAGTTCTTTTGTGTAGACACAATAATGCTCCTTTCCTAAAATTAAGAAGGTTCCTGGCTTATGCAACACTAAGCTACATAAAAGGATCAATCCTGATAGTAAAGAATGTAACCTCTGTAAGCAATCCAATTACCAGCTAAACTTGCACCCATAATATAATGCACTCCAGTGAATGAAAGTAAAATGTATACACAATACATTGCAGAAAATTTTACCATACATATTCTTCTCCCTACCTGTCCATTTTCTGTAGCAAATTGCACTTTGTACAGTGAGCACTGGATAGTTTCTCATCGGCCTATGGCCCAAGGCCAAATTATGCCTTCACATGACATTTCATTGAAGGTCAAACAAATGCCTGAAGGCAGGATTTGGCGCCTTCTTAATGACAGTAGATTCATAGCTATGAGGTTGCCCAATATGCAGAGTTTATCTTTCCTTTTTCTCCTATGACATTTCCTTCAAGGCACAAAAGATTATTAACAGTGGACAGGACAGAGTATTTTGATTTAAGAATTTTAAGGTTCCATAAGACCTTTTATTTTCAGATATAAGCATAGCAAAAGGACAAAGAAAAAATAAAATGCCTGAAAAAAAAATGACACGATGCTTAGGTCATTTGAAATTCCCTGCAGATTACTTTTTTTTAAAAGAATTTTAAATCTTTTTTTATTGGTTTAAAATATAGTACATGTTTGATATTTTGTGAGTGATATAATTTCTATTTAAATATTGTGTGAAGTATTTCTAATTAGCCAATATTATTGTAAAAAAAAAATCTAGTTTATTTGGACAAAGTGGTTTTTGACTAAGATATAAACTTGGAAAAGTTAACTTGTAATTTAAATAAGGATTAAGTGCAATGTATTGTAAAACTCTTCCTCCATGATTAGCTAACAGGGATCCTTAGGCATCTCCAACCCAAACAACAGTATTTCCTTTCTGGACTTCAGTGATCTCACAGTTTAACTTATTAAGGCGACCATCCAGAATGAAGAGAGAATCCTTGGAGGGTGTCATTAAGTACTGTCCAAAGAGGCCACTGCCTTGGATGTGCCTGTTCTTCTGGCTCCAGGGCCAGTCTTCTGTCTTAAGAGGTTCTTTGAGGCTCTTGATCATCTTGACCTTCCCAGAAGATAGCTCCACAAAAAGCACGTCGGTTTGTTGGCCTGAGCTTCCATAGATGTTATACTGGTGGGCTTCTGTGAAGGATGGCTGGAAGGCCAGGTCAGATATATGCAGGTTGGTATGAATGTCAAAAGCATCCAGGATTTCTCCTCTGATGGTGATATACTGGACTCTCACAAGACCTTTCACATCGTTAACGCTGACAAGATAGTGTCCATCTGGAGAAATGTAAGGGGTGCCTGTAACATCACTGTTGAAGCCAATGACTGAGTCAGTCACACTGTCCACCACGAGTTGTGGTGACAGGGCTCCAGTGACATCAGGTTGGCAGCTAATAAAGTAGTATCCTCCCAGATGAGTGTATGCCAAGGAGAGAGGAATGCACTTTGAATCCTTTAGGTTAATTGTTTTGATGTAGGACATGGTTTCAAGATCAATTTTATGTAATGCTCCTTCTTCTTTATGAAGAATAAATCCAAATCTGAAAAGATAAAGCAAAAGTTAGAAAGGAAACTGTGGATTTGGTACCCAAAGACAAACATCACAGACAGAAACAAGGTTCACCCCAAGGCAGGGCCTTAATTGCTATGGTGAAAATCTGCTGTGTAACACTAATGGTGGAATTAGTTTTTGGTATATTATGTTCCAATGTTTTCCAATATTATTTAATATATCTTTATATCTAAGCAATTGTCAATCCTACTAAATAAAGGAAAGCAATTTAAAGCAATGGGTCTAGTTAACGTAAACAACCAACTTTATTTTTAACAGAGAGGGGAAAATGAATCATAGCTTTTATATCTCTAAAGATTGTATTGTATAAAACTGGTTCAATAATTCTAAGGCTAGCAAGAATAGCAAGTGTGAAAGAGGGAAGGAGATCAGAGAGATAGGAAGAGAGAGAGGGAGAGAGAAAGATGGAGGGAGGAAGAAATGAAAGGAGGGGTAGAGGGAAGGAGGGCTAGAAGGAGGTTGGAGGGAGAAAGGGAGGAAGGAAGAGAGAAAACCCATTAGAAAAAGTTATAATCAAAAGTCAGTATTCACTTTTGGGTATTAATAATACTGATGGTATAAGTTTTTGATATTTCTAAAACCTCATAAATTAAAGGTCAAAGAAATACTGGTCTCTGTTCACATGTGAAGAAAATAGAATACTGTATTGCATTAAGATGAAATAAAACAATATAGGAAATATAAAAAGGAGGATTAAGAAAATGAGGAGATAAGAGAATACAGAAAGAGAACAGAGAAGGAAAAAATTATACTATTAACGTTTATAAAAAGTCATGGGGAATAATTATTTTATACTTACAAAATTTCATACAATACACATTTTTATATAGACATATACATACATATTTTTAAAATGAAGTCATGCCACTTGGAATGAAAATGCTTTTCACAGGAGTCATAGACTATATAATACAACCTGAGTACCAGGCATGATCATCCCCCTTTCAAGTTTTTGGTCAGTAGAATTCAAAACAGCACTAAAACAATATAGTTTATTGCTATAGCCCTTAGTTGTCTCTCAAACATTGAAAGAAAGTACCAATTTATGTAGACAGTAATTGTTTTGGGACACCAGATTGAGAAGATTTGTGCTGGAACAGACCCAAAATACCTCTCACTAATGACTAGGTTTCATAGAAATGCAAATTGATGTGCAAGCTACCAAGGAAGGAAAGCAATGAATAGTCCTATTCAACTACAGGGCCTATGAAACACAGCAGTGACCAACATAGCAATATATCAATATATACCCAGAAGTACAATAGTGACACTTAGATCCTTATGGTAACCAGAAGTGTTCTAATTGGGCATAAAGTCCACTTCACAAAAAGAAAAATAATCACACATTTGCATTATACCCAGCCAAAAATCTGTTGCTTGTAAGATCATAGATGTTAAAAGCATAACCACTTTCCAAAAATAGTGTAATTTCTAAATGCATTATAAAAAACATATACCCACAGATAAATGGATATCTCATCTCTCATCAAATCACCTTCTTTTTGAAGCAGAAGGATATCATTACAGAAATGCATGTCTAGTAAAAGTGTAGAGAACAGCTGACCTTAGGCTGTTCCCTCCCTAGAACACAACTCTCACACTGAAGGTTCAGAGAACATCTCAGAGGAAGGGGACCAGGAAGATTGTTATTATCAGGAAATGTTCTGTGAAACTGTGTCCTCTAGATTTGACAGGGAAGCTACACCTATGAAATCTGAACAATATGGCTGTATCTTCTTAAAAAATTAGCAGCTCTAACACTAGTTAATATCGCAACATAAATGGGGAAATCTCACTAGGTCCTCTCTCTAGAAAAAGATCTACAAGCAATGAGCAAGTGTTGAGAAAGGATGAAGGCATCTTCCCCAGGGTTGAGCAACCTGACTGATTATGCAATACCAAGTGTTCAGCCCTGGAAATTTCTATATGCAGAGAACACTTTTAATACAACAGTTGTATTTATGTTTGTTTGTTTATTTATTTATTTAGTTGTATGTGTGTGGATGACAACAATAAAAATTAATGAGGAGAATGTTAACTTGGGAGGAGTTATTGGTGTAGGATAAATGTAGGGGGATAGGAGAAGTGAGAGAGAAGGAAATGAAGTAGTTTTATAAATTAAAAATAATCATATAGATAACCAGTTATGATACAAAGTAGTTTAATTTTTATATAGGAATAATTATGAGTAATTTAGTTATATAAATGAAATTATGTCCATATATGATAAAAATAATTCTATCTATACATTATTAATATTAATATTAATAAATGTATCGGTTTACTATAATAAAAATTTCAGTGAGCAGTATGCATGATTACGGATAAGAAGGCATAATTTAGTACAAAGATTTACTAAATTTCATTAAATTTAGCCCTTTCATTAAATTATGACTATGTCTACATTCCTTATATTGCATTAAATTTTAAGTTTTATACTAAAGGGTTATATGTATAAAAAATCCTTTCATGAGCTTTGTAAATATTTATTGTAGAATGCATTGCAGACATATTGAATATTAAGTCTTACTGCTTTAAATAAGTCCAGAAATTCTAAGGCACTAAACATTTGAAAAGTTGTTAATGATTAATGCCTAGTCTACTTACTGTTTCTAACTTAGTAACTACCTCTCTGTACTTTGTAATATTGAAAACAGTGTTTCTCGTATATTTTTAAATGATAACCACCGTTTTGGGTTTGCTTCTGGGTTCATTATTTCCCTGTATCTTAAAACCCATATCTTCAAGTCTTGGAATAAACAACTCATGCCATATTCATAGTACATAAAATGGGAGTTCTGAACATATGAAAGAATATTCAAACTAACAGACGTCTCTGTGGGAGTGGATGGGGATGGGATGGCATGGTGGTGGGGGGATTGGGCAGGAGGAAGAGGGAACTGGAATTGAAATGTAAAAAAAATGGCATGTTTTCAATTTAAGTAAAAAAAATTAATTCTTTTCTAAATGATATAAAACAAAAAGTCCTTCAATAGCTAGATGATTCACAAAATTTATTAACTCATAAGAGAAAACATAAAATCTTAGGTTTTGCTATCCACACTCAAATTTGTCTTAATAAACAACTTTGATCCATTTCAAATAAAACATGCTGTTTTTCTACTAATGAATAATAATTATGAATGCATTGGTATAGGATTATCTCATTAATTAGATTTTGAGTTCTAATGACAGATTTTTTTCATATATAAATTGTTCATGAACCAGAGGAAAAGTAATAGTGAGCTCATTTAATTAAAACAATAGTACACCAAGTCTAGGGATTTAGACTTTTTGAGTAATGTGTAGTACTCTAGCCCCTTTGGGCAAAGGGACTTGCTAATGAGAAAGAACGAGTCAAGCACACTGTTCACCTGAACTATTTCAACACTGGTTGTGAAATATGTACCCACATTTTCTGAGCTATACCTTGGCTTTTTTTCATAATTAAAAAATAATGGTCCATTTGAAAATGCAGGAACCCTTCAATAATGATAAAATGGTATTTATTTATCCCCATACTGTGCTCCAGGATGGAATAATAAGCCCATAAGTAGATGCAGGAGGGTCCTGTCAGTTCCCACCACTGTTTTATTGGTTAGAAGCAATGTTCTTAAATAAAAGTCTTCTCTTAAAATAGCTTGGTATTCAGAAGGCTCCACTGTTCATTAAGGTGTGATTAATACTTATGAGACTCAACCTTCATTCATGCTCATTTTCATAAAAGCCTGTATGCTGGATTTGTCTAGCATTTGTAAAAATATTAGGATAGAAGTTTGAAGTAAATGCATTAGAATATGTCTCAAACTCATATTTTGACTGGAAATTATTGTTACTTAACCTATATAGCCCCATGTGAGTTGGTCAGATATAGTGTAGTGCGTTCTGTTTATTTTTTTTCTGCTTGTTTTCTTTGTTTGCTTCCTTATTTGTTTTACAGAGGGTCTGGAGTTTTAAAAAAAGGTGTTTTCACTTTAGTCACATTCGTTACCTTCAGCTATGTCCTGGGTGTTGCTGAATGTAGGGAAATAGTGACTTCTTGCCAGGATGGTTGAGTTTCCTGACAACATTTTCACTATAATAAACACAACCAGAAGCATTGCAAGCTTAAAGAGAGTGTTTTCCTGCAGGAGTTGCATACACTACATTTACTCTGTAACTTTATATTTTGTGTATCTATTTCCTATATACTAACTAGCTAAAGTGTGTTATTGTTTTTGTTGTTGTTTCTCATTGTTATGTGGTCTTTATTTTGCTCTTTTTCTGTGTTTAATTTTAATTTTCATCATATGTGCTTATTGTACATTGCGCTGTTATTCATTGTACAAGAATCCTTAGATGCAAGTACACAACAGGTGAAGTACATTTACCCCATCCTCACACCTTTCAACCTTTGACTTTCTATCCTCTCATCCATTAGTCCCTCTATTCCTCTTGACAATTTCCTTTCTAGTCTAATCACATATACATGCATGATCTATTTGTGACAAAATATCATAAGCAATGATGTACAAAGCCAAAACAAACTTAGGATCCAGCTTTTGTTACAGCTACCATCTTCACTCTGTCACCCAATCTTCCTGATATTATGGAAATCTTGGTGCTCAGTTTGAAGTCTACACCTGGTGGATGACTTAGAGAATAGTTCCTGGATCCTGGGATGGAATTGTGAAGTTCTCACCCTCTTGGATTCCTGTTCTGATACTCAATCTTGAATGCTTTTACTTGATTGCACTGAAATGCTTGGTCCCGTAGGACAAACTGTTGAGACTGCTCAGTGCTGAAATTTCAGCTTCCAAAACAGTGAGTTAAATAAACTTACTTTATTTATAAAATGGGCTGCCTTAAATATTTTGTTATGCCAATGAAGAATGGACTAGTATACAAAGATATATTATTTCATACTTGAGAGACCAGAGTGACAATGGGAAACTTGTGTAGTTTTTTTTGCTCTTTTTGTATCTATAG